ATAAGAAGACGGCAGCCCACTATTCAACAAGGTATGAGAAAAGATATAATCGAGCTGGTGCCGCCGTCAAGCATCAGGCGCTGAGCGGACTACTCAAGCAGGACCAACAATATATTCTGGTTCACGTGAGGTTTTGGCAGAGCAGTCTGAGGCCAGCCTGAACGTGAGGGGTGGCCGAGCTGGCAGCAGAATCCGACGACAGCTTGATGACCGTTCTCACTGGGCGAACCACAGGGTATGTATCCGTCTTCAGAATCAGTCCCCGCCCCAGGTGAGGTGACGACGTTCTTTTTCTTCTTAGGGGGGCTCCGACCTGCCAACGCGAATAAGTCAGGTAACAAGAACGTAGGGAACTCCCAAACCATAGCCAAAGAATTACCTGACGGGCCGTACTGTTGAAGAAATGCAGCCCGGGTACGGCATTCCTCCGCATAAGGTATTATTCTTTCCACCCATGATTTAATGTCATTAGTGAACTGGGGTGGAGAAGCCCTCGCTGCAAATAAAAAAGGGAGAAAAGCAAAGAATCACAGTGGCCGTATGGTCAAAAGCGCAAGCGTCCTGAATTTTACGAGTAGAAATACTCACGTTCTGGATTCCATCTTTCCGGGAACCCTTCGGGATTCGAGACCAGGTGCTCCGTCCTGATGTAGAAATATTTACGCCAAAAGCGGCGGTTGGGCTTATCATCGGCTTTAACAACCAAGCCCCTTGTGCCACGACTTTTTAACTGCAGCATGGTACCCCTCAGGTAACCAGGGCTGAATAACTGCAAGAGGTGGTGGACCGAGACGCTGCACTCAGCCCTGGCCGCATAAGTGGTCATAATACGGCACACCTTCAAGGTGTAAGGAGTGAGCTGAGCCGGACACACATTATAAAAACGGCAAAGCTCCTCCGTCAGAGGGTAGATTGGAAGATTGTAACCGATCAAGAACGGGTACTCATAGAATGAGCAGTATCCAGGCCGGTGCACATTGGCATAGTCCGTCCCGGCCGGAACCATTTCCACGTGGTCTGGAATATGGTGTGTCTCTCGAAGATCATCTAAGTGGGATTGTAGTAAAACGATGTGCTCCCAGGGAAGGTCTGGGCTTTTAGTTGGAAAATCCCTGCGAACATGCATCTCCTTCGGAAGGACGTTGTCTACACTGAGAGGAACAAGGGCCTTCTCCGCCTTTTCCCCTTCACCACCGGAAGATGGCGGAACCCTAGACGGGGCATTATCTTTAGCCTTTTTACTACTCTGTCCACGTTTTGTCATGATTATACTACGTAAGAAACGAAGCACTGACGAAAGGAAGTGTGGTTTCAGCAGAAGTGGGAGAGTCCCTCACGAAATAACGGTTACAGGAAAGGAAGACAAAGGAGTAAATCGGAAAATGCTTTCCGAAGGCTTGAAAGTTGAATCGAATCGAACCTCTCTCCTACTTATAGGGATAAGTTGCGCAGAAATCGAAGAGTCATGATTCAAAACGTGCGCGGGAAACCAAAATGTCACATCATCCTCTGAACCGCCTCGGGGGCAAATATAATAATGACGCATACAGGCGATGACGTCATTCCAAAAAGGAAACCATGCGTCAGTGGCTCTATAACGTCATATATTTCACCTCATTCATATTGCCGCCCCTGGTCGAGGTCAAATTCTCCTAAGTCGAGGTTCGCATTTCCGCCCATCGAAGACGCCCACCGAATGCGTCTCCAACGAGCGGAGGGACTAACTGTATAGGGTCAAATTTGATCGTCAGCATCCCTACGCCAGAGGGTACGCCCAGTGAGTGTACGCCGACTAACGTAGCGGGTACGACTCGGACGCGGGGACAAAAGCGACATCGTTTAGGACTCAGTGTCTTCACTAGGGAGACGTTACCTGTCTTTGTAACTTTTTGATTCTTTCGAGGAAGGTCTCTTATTATATAAAGGAGACCTTCACATTGTAAAAAGGGGATTCTGATCGAATACAACTCTCCAATTTTCTGTCTTTCTCTCTCTATCTCTACCTCAAACGAACATATCTTGTTAAGTTCATATTATCACTTTGCAATACTAGATCTACAACAATAATATCATCTTTGCATCTCTAGGTTTATTATATTTGATTACGATTTACCCTTTTCTTACTTTTGATTGTTTTCTAGCTTACAAAGTATATTGCTAACCTTTGAGCCAAACAAGTTTATTGAATTTAGCTTGGCTAAGAGAAAATATAATTATGAGGTCTAAAATGGAAATAAATGTTGATCAAATTGGAATATAAAAACATGCTTCTACTATCCAAATAATGGCAACAGAAATATTTTAAGAACTTAACGGTGACAATTTTTCCTATTATTGGCATATATAACATACCATAAGTCAAAGTTTTTTTTTTTTTGGGTTTCAAAGTCAAACGTCCAAAAATTATCAAAACAGTCATCAGAATGTACATAAATTGTTGTGTTTTGCGTTTTAAGTTTCCAATTATTTTGTAAAAAGGGTAACATATCATATTTGTGGCAAATACTGAGGTTTATTACGAGTATTTATGGGCATACACAATCGCTTTTCTCCGAGGGAAATCCACAGGTTTAATGTATAATTTTTTCAAAAAGTACCTACTACAAAGCTATAAGGATCAAAGTTTGACCATGCATTTTCTGGATAAATGGTAAGGCATTTTCCGTAGGATAATTAAATAACTTAGAAGAGAAAAAACAAAAACAAAAACAAAGAGCTGTTCAACTTGGTTGGATCCATAATTAAGAGCGTACGTGAGCATTAATAATAGCAGATAGTACCTCGTAAAATTAGAGACAGCCAATGTTGCTTCTGTTGGTTTACTGTACGTAGCATGAGGTTGGGTGATATATGTATTAATTTTAATTTTAACTGCTAAAGTAAACTTTATTGATTTGATATAAATATACTATGCTAGTAAATTTATACCGGTTTCATATACTTAGTACTAGCGCTACACGGCAAGTCGGCAACCCTAAAATTTGGTAAATTAAGATACTCCATTGTTTTCAAAGCTTATAGTGAGTGGTAGCTATAACAGTCTTATACACAACAAATGCTAATCAAATTCTCTTTTCTCTTTAAAAAAAAGATACGCGTAAGAATATTAATGGATGGATCATTAGCTAAGTATTCAATTAACGTGTATAATTTAAGATAAAGATGCTCGTATATAGTCGTATGCATGGTACGTTAGTTGGTTCTTATCGTTATAGTTACGTAAATAGAAATAGAATTCATTGGTCTAATTTGGATAACTACAAGGAAAATATATGGATCTATGCCGAACATAGCAAAACTAAGTGAAATAAAAGATTCTTGGAATCGAAATTATTATAGGGGGAATCAACGAATGTGAATTCTCATTAGCTGGCAGTAAACTAGATTCCAAACTGTTTCCTTTTGGATGCTGCGAATGGGGAATGAGTAAGCCTCGTGCCACCATTTTTTTTAATTGTTCTTTGATTGACGTCATACCAAAAATTTGGTAAGTAGGCCTTTGATTGATACACTTAGAGCCTGTTTGGACATTAAAAAAAATTATTTTCTTTGGAAAAGTTTTCATTTTTTTTCGAAATCAACATTTGACCATAAATTTTTTACTTTTCACTTGAAATAAATTTTAAAAATTTTCAAAAATTAGAAAAAGTAAAAAAAGTTGTTTTTCATAATTTTCACTCAGATGGCTCACAAAAATTGAAAAACAAGCCAAAATTATATTCATGTTCAAACACAACTTTAATGTTCAAATACCATTTGCTACTTGAAATAAAAATTCATTTTTTTTTGGAATTTTAGAATTCTTATATCCAAACACCCACTTAAAATACAATAAAATTATGTACTCTTATTCATTGAATCAAATCAAATTAATTTAATTTAATTTTATTATTAAAATATATGTGAAAAAACATATAGTAAAAGTATATTTTTTTAAAGAACTTATTTTATATTTAGTGATTTGATATAAATAAAAAAAATAATTAAAAAACGTACAGAAAAGCTGAGCCTTAAAAGTTTGATTTGCACATATGTATTTTTCCGTACACATAGGATATGGTCACATATACAGTAATTTGTATTAAAAGATGTTTAGAACAAGTCATGATAATGATAAATAATAAGAACGTAAAATAATAAGTAGTAGTAGTAATTTTTGAATATGAAAAAACATGTCAAACCAAATTTTTATGACAGAGGAAAAAAAAAAGAAGAAATGACGCTAACAAATCTGGGAGTGGAAGAGTATAAAATTACGAAAATGCCGGACAGGTTTTTTCCTTACGTCAGGAACCGCTAACTAGAAAACCGTACTATGCAATATAGATTTTTTCGGGTAAAATTCTGAAATATTTTGGGTATGACACGACAAATTCACATAGACCACAAATTTCCACTGATATTGCTTATGTCATCTGAGTGTGACCTTCAAATTATAAAATTTTAATAATTGACAGCTAGGCCCTTGTCCTTTGTTTCCTTTTTGAACTTAAATTAGGGCAAAGTGGTAAATAAATAAAATGTCTCTATCACTAAAAAGTAAGCAGCGTTCATATCAATGGGTCGTATACTTAAAATCGTCCACAGAATACAGTTGTTGTGCTATTGACGATAAAGAGCATCAATATTTGGAACCACTTCATAATTAGAAGGGGTGTTATGTTCAAGTTTCGAAAATAATTTCTTTAATTAAAAATCGCTCGGCCTGGTATATTAATCTCCCGTTATGTGTGGAGTTCGAAAAAAAAGCCGAATCACAAGTATTTATTTTATACAGTCTTATTCTGCATTTCTGCAAAAGATTATTTTTACGGCTCGAATCCTTAACCTCCTTGTCGCATGACAGCAACTTTATTAGTTGCGCCAAAGGCTCCCTTCCCAAATTTTAGAGCATTGAAAAAAATAAATAAGGGCAAAATTGGAAAATTGGAATCCAACAAGAATCCCTTTGGGTGACGTTTGATCAATAATAAAGAGGTGTACTACATATCAAATTTAACTCTATTTATCAAAACAACACCTAATAATTATTCTCTCTCTTCTCCTTTTCTATTTTTCTTTTTGCTCCACTTTGTTGGAGCTGAACAAGGTTTCAGTTCTTCAGTTTCTCTTTCTAGAAGAAGAATACTAAATTCTGAAAGGATGGCTTCAATTGATTCTTGAAATTATCAGCTTTGCTGAAATGGATATTTTCTCTAAAGGGTATTTTTCTTGAATTCTTTATTTTCATTCTTCAATCTCTATGTTCTTTTTTTCTTTTCTCATTTGAGTACCTTCAATTGAGTTATATTTATTTTGTTGATAATTCTGTGTTGTTCAGTATTGATTAATTATAGGAGTGAAACTCATTAATTGTAGCTGTGGTTGTTGCTAAATGTTCCTGCATAGACAGCTAAAGTTTCATGGTTTTTGCATATTTAGCAGAACAACAAAATTCTAATATTTTTCTTCTTATTATGTATAGAAAGATTTGACTTATTTCCTTTTGTCAGTTGCAGTGTGCTTAATTGGAAACTATGTAATTGAATAGCTTTCTCTTTTTGGTTCCTTTTACCTTTACTCGTGCCTACATCTTTTAGTATATCTAAGTCTTGTTAAAATACTTAATTGATTAACACGGCCAACGTAACGTTTTGAATCTATGTTCTTTTTCCCCCCATAGTTTTGGAGTTTCTGCTGTAGATCCCGTTTTCTAATGGTTGGTTTTCTTTCCTACTCAAGAAGGTGAATGAATTCAAGGAAATGTTGGAGTTTAGCATACTTTTTATTGGAGATGGCCATAAATAGAGTTGCAAGAATGAGTCTTGAAAAATTTGCTTCCTTATTAATATTAGTTTGCTAACATTTTTCTTTTACACCTCAAATTCTATCAAAATTATGGAAGTATATCCTCTTATGGTATAAAACAGTATAATAGCAGCACGGGAAATTGCTACAAGTGTGGAGATATATCAGATCAGAGAGCGGACAACCTTTTCTTTTTTTCTTCTTCTTTTGGTGTGCAGGATTGCAAGTCCTATGAATCTTTTAGAAAGTATGGTGTAGCTAGTACGTGAAGTTAAAGGTCAACCCATAGTGTTTTTATCCACCAGTTTACATAAGTTACATGAAGAAAGCAAACTGTAACTGGCAAAGGAAGCAAGAAAATAAAAGGATCTTGTTCTATGGTGACTAAATTGTTGTGGTCTAAGATCTTCACAGACATGACATACAAGGATTGATGCCTGTGCTGGGAAATGGGTTATTGATTAAAAACACTAGACAATGGATACCCTAAACACTCTTCTTAAAAGTATTGCATAACTCTGAAGATCCTCTAAAGTTTTTGCTCAATATTACAGAGTTATGGACCTGGTCAGGTTAAGTACAGCCATATTCTACCATTTTCATTACTTACAATTTTACTAGGTTATCACAGCATGAATAGCAGGGGCGGAGGTAGTGTATTGTTTACGGGTTTGGACGAACATAATAGCTTTTTGGATCATGTTTCTGTAGTAGGAAACTCATTATATATTTAATTACAAATCCAGTAACTAAACATGCTATGTGTTCGGTGGCAAATTCAGTACCCATTTCAAATCCTGGCTCCTTTCTGGCCAATAGCATGACATATCATCCTTATATGCATTATTTTTGGAAATCCTGATTATAATCCAAGAAGTGAGCATTTAACACTCTTCTTAACAATTTTTAGTGGTAACATTTGATATCATTAAATCAATATATGGTCCTTAAAATTGTTTCTCAACGTTTATTGATTTATGGGCCTGGTAGATTTAAGTGCAGCTGTCTTCTATTCTCAGTGTAGGTGACTTTACGTCACTTGCAAATGCCCGGATATTTTTGATACTCTCATGTATGCGTGCCTGTTATGTAATAGTTTTAAAATTCTTTTGTTTTTTTCAGTGCACTGGGTATGTGGTTGTTGTTTGTTTGTTTGCTTTCTTCGGTTACAAATTATATATTGAATTATTTGATTCTGGATATTATGTGTTTGAGGATTCTTTCTCACATCTTTAGAGAAGAGGTCTTCATTTTCCACACTGCAAGGCATGAAAGAGTAGAAATTCACGTGGAAAAAGGAAGCACCTTAATACCCTATACCTTTAAGAATTTGAGGCCTTCTGTTTGTGATGTAACATATTCAGAATAAGTTTCTAGGCCATGGAAGATTATGCCGATTCTATAGATGACATTAATGGTGAGGTTGATGTGGACTGTTGTGAAAACTTCTTATGTTGTAGCAAGTAATATACCTTGTTTGTAATGCTAACACTTATTATCTGAATTCTTTAAATCCTCCTTCCTGCCTCTATCTTTCTGCCCTTTGATTCTGTTGTTATCTCCCTCTCTTTCCGCACGTATTGCAACATTCAACTTTCAAATGTCAAACTGAGCTCTTTATTATTAACTTTTATTTATGTGGCATGCAACTTGTCCTTGATATGTTAACAAAAGAAAAGACAAAGTTGCAATTTTGCCATCTGTATACTTCTTGTTTAAGTCTTTAAATGTATCTTCATGACGGAATTGTCATCGCTCAAGGATGCGATTCATCAAATTATGCTTGAAGGGGGAAACCTTTCCATCTCCCATATCTTTTGTAGTTCACGAATTCTGACATCCCGTTTTCTGTTTTTTCAGGTTTTTCAACTAAGACTCTCTACTGTGAGACGTGATCTGCTATTGTCTTTTAGTATCTTCCTCATCAGTTTGTATATAAGAGCATTTACACAACTCTTGATGCCCCTCTACAAGATTAGATAAAATGGATCGATCAGACACATCAGGGTTTGTGAGTGGAGGAGGTAGCTCATTTAGGACTTACTTTACTTGCTTTCTTTCTTTTGATTTTTGGGTTTCTCCATTAATATGTGAATAAATTATTCAGTTAATTATTTTCAGGTCAGCTTTTCCCTAATATAGTTTGATAACATCCAATGATCTTAATGAGAAAAATATGTGCCTTGTTCCAGATGTCGAGCTCACAAGGAGTGATACAACATTAAGATTGGATTGCTTTGGTTATGGAGGAAATGGGTTTATCAGATTTGGAGGCAGTGGAACCAGCAGTAGAAGCCATGTTATGCAACAGAATGCTGTTGATGATGGGTTTAAATTGGTACTTGGTTTGGGCCCAACACCTACAATGTTTTCCGACGATTATTGCCCTGGTGGAGCTAATAAAAACAAAGGGTTTACAGCCTTGTTGAATCAGGGGCTATCATCTGAGAGTGATTCAATCCTCAAACTTGGCCTCTCTGGGAATACTGATGAAATTTCCAATGCACTTGATTTTTCTGCTATCACTCAGAGTACTGCTGGTGCACCTCATCATCTTGATCAGCTATCTTCGGCTGGAAATAGACCAGCGATCCCTGTCCTGGATGAAGGTTCTACAACGGCCAAGAAGTCGGGTGGATACATGCCTTCACTTCTTCTTGCTCCAAGAATTGAAAACAACCACCTATCCTTCCAAAACAAGGAACTTTTGGAGCTGGGTGCAAAATCGCATTTCCATCTCCCTGAGCTGAGCTCTGAACCTTCTTGTATCTCTGATTACTCAATGAGTACCATGTCCGAACCAACGACAATGGCTACATCCTCACGTAAGACAACCAATCCCAAGAGATGCAAGTTTCCGGGGTGTCCCAAAGGAGCTCGAGGAGCAACAGGTCTTTGCATTGGACATGGCGGAGGACAGAGATGCCAAAAACCGGGATGCAACAAAGGTGCTGAGAGTAGGACCGCCTACTGTAAGGCCCATGGAGGAGGGAAGAGGTGTGAGCACCTGGGATGCACTAAAAGTGCAGAAGGTAAGACCGATTACTGCATAGCACATGGCGGTGGGAGGCGCTGTAGTTTTACTGGAGGTTGCACCAGAGCAGCACGTGGCAGGTCAGGCCTTTGCATCAAGCATGGTGGGGGAAAGCGGTGCAATGTGGAAGGATGCACTCGTAGTGCCGAGGGGAAAGTTGGCTTGTGCATTTCCCATGGTGGTGGACGCCGTTGCCAATACCCTAGTTGTGCAAAGGGCGCACAGGGAAGCACTTTGTACTGCAAAGCACATGGTGGTGGAAAGCGTTGCATATTTGCTGGCTGCACCAAAGGAGCCGAAGGGAGTACGCCTCTTTGCAAAGCACATGGTGGCGGAAAACGTTGTCTCTTTGATGGTGGTGGGATATGCCCCAAAAGTGTACATGGAGGCACGAATTTTTGTGTTGCACATGGTGGTGGGAAGAGGTGTGCTGTTCCAGGATGCACTAAGAGTGCTCGAGGGCGTACAGATTGTTGTGTTAAGCACGGAGGAGGGAAACGTTGCAAGTTTGAAAACTGTGGGAAGAGTGCTCAAGGTAGTACTGACTTTTGCAAGGCTCATGGTGGTGGTAAGCGTTGCAGCTGGGGAGAGGGGAAATGTGAGAAGTTTGCTAGAGGAAGAGGAGGGCTATGTGCTGCTCACAGCAGCTTGTTACATGGGAGGAATGCTAATAAAGGAGGCATGATTGCACCAGGACTTTTCCACGGACTGGTCCCTGCTGCCTCCCCCTTAAAGACCACTTTTGAGAAGAACAATCGTTCCTCTTCTATGGTGAGCATGATCTCAGATTCAGTTCATTCACTCGAGAAGCCGGCTGAAAGGCAGCAACTTATACCACCACAAGTATTGGTTCCCTTGTCAATGAAGGCCTTATCAACTTGTTCTAACCCCTTAACTTCAGAGAAGCAGGACAACAGAAGCACCGACCTTGCGATTGGAAGAAACAACACAAACAACAACGTTGAGTTTGTTGTCCCAGAGGGCAGAGTTCATGGTGGTGGGCTAATGTCATTGCTTGGGGGAAATATGAAAAATGCAATAATGTGAAGCTGTGCACTTTGCTATTGGTGAATTTGTACTCTCATGAACTAGTATTCATTTCTTTTTTGAACTGTGTATAAATGTTTGTATCAGTTTTGTGGGACTCTAAGAGTGTTCTGTTAAGTACATAGGTTATGCTATTGTAACTTGTAATTGTCAGGTTGCCTTATTCCTGAATTTGTACTCTCATTCAGTCCATCTAGTCGGTTATGCAGAAGTTCAGATTTTTTCTTTAAAATAAATTAAAAAAGACCTCGACTGGGTATGTTATATTACAGGCAGAAAACATAAAAACTGCAAGTTGGGGATTGGAAGAAGTTCACTTATATTTAACATCTAAATGGTAGACATATATTTGATAGGTGCTAGCTCTATAATGATGTTGCTAATACTACAGTTGTATAATTCTGTGGTAGTGTCAGTTGCATTAGTGAACTTAGACATTTGCAATGTTCAACTATTCGTCAAAGCTTACAACAATAACAACCGAGTAAAATCCTACTAATGGGGTCTAGGGAGGGTAGAGTGTACGCAGACCTTACCCCTACCCCGGAAGGGTAAAGAGGCTGTTTCAGCGAGACCCGGCTCAACAGAATTCATCAAAGTTTCTGTCCGTAAATTAACATTGGGAGGATCAGAAGAAGTTTATAAACTGAACTTTTGCATGTGTATATGACCTATCAGCATTTTTTCATCTTTTTGAAATGATTATTATTTATTTACTTATCTTGTTCATTCCTGGAAAAGTGAAATCTCTTTGACATTATTACTATTTCAATAAGCATAGCCCTTGAAATAATGAAAACTGATAAAACAAGATACTGCACAAGATATTCTACAACTAGTTTCACATGGATATAAGTCTCTTAGGGCAAGAAAGGGAAAGCCCAATTGGTGAATCTAGGTTGTGTGGCATGATTTGGTGGATGAACTGAAGATAATGGTAGCTGCAGCCCGACTTGAGCTAGTTTATCCCAGCACCCGGGCTCATTTCTACCTATTATTTTTCTTATATTATATAACTAGTGTCGTGCGTTGCACGTTGATAATGCCACGTGATGATTTAAACATTTATTTATACGAAGGAACAATAAAATTTAATTAATGAGAGAAATTTTATGTTTAATAATACAACAATCATCTAAATGCCGAAAAATATTATTACATTAGCATAGTAAATGAATTTAAAATAAAAGAACATCATCAAAACTTACACAAATGATCAATTTTGTCATGTTAGTTAGATAATTATGTATTATAGTTTAAAAGTATTTAATGTGATTGTATCTTAACGAACACTTCTTTGTGGACAATTTCTTTTGTGTATGTTTCCTCCTAATGCTTTGGTCGCTCTGCCTTAACCGGAGCTCTTGTTGTCAATCTTGATTTCGCTTTTGAAAGGGCAACACACAGTTGTTCGTGCAATAAAACATATTGCGGTAAATATAGTCCAATATTTATGATATTTGTCCTTGTGCTTTATTTATTATATTTGCACAACATAAACGTACTAAAATTATTTTCACTCAAATTTAAAAGGATATTCTTTAGTTTCGGAAGACGAAAGTTGAATTTAGGGACAAAAATATACTTAGAAGCACAGTGGTCAGTATCATAAGTTTTGCATGTATGACGTTTGTCAAAACTTCTATATACCATATGTGTGCTATTACATAAGCTATTCAGTGTATCTAAGTTTTTCAGTAGCATGATGGGCATATTTTTCTTCAAAATTAACCTATATACAATGGAAGAGCAATTTTAACTTAGTCTATTATATATACGGTTACACTAACATACGTAAAACAATAATAAACTTGACAACAAACATGTATGGTAGAAGGCCATTTGGTATTAAAGTATTTAAGTATTCTTCTTGGCAGTAATTATTGGTGTCATTTTTCTGCCGAGTCAAAAGCTGAAAAATATTTAATTTTTACTATACAATTTTGCAATCAACCTTTTATTTAGTTGATCAATATATTCATTTCTGCTAGCTAAGATATCTTTTTAATTCTATCGTGCGATTTGCACAAATTGCGTTTAAACTAAGATAGAAATATTTCTTTTATTAAATGCACTACCATTACCATTGGGATTGATAACCAAGTGTTCAGGAAGAATCAAATCATATTTTATTAGATGATTTTCTTCGTTTCCGACACGAAGCAAGAAGACATTGAATACTGGATCTGTTCTTACTTTATATTTCTTGTCAGTTGAATCTTTTTCATTTAAGGCAAGAAGTATAACTTTGGCAAGATAGCTTTTACAGTCTCTGCTTTTGTCGATTTTGGAATTATTGGTAGTACTTGACAGAAATTACCTCCCAAACCATTAATTTTTCACCAAACGGTTTATTAATATCCAATATATCTCTAGAACTCTAGGCAATTATTTCGATCGTTTGACACTTAGCCATAAGTTTTTCACCCATATTATCAATTTTGCTTTCATTATAAATTTAGCACCATTGTTCTACTGTGATATATTGCTGATGGTTATTTAAGTTGGTTGAAGAGGTATATCAAATCTAAAGTGGTGGCCTCACAATAGAATTTGTTGGTACACCATTTGCTATTAATGCTAACAGTGTTATGCCTTTCAATATGATATTTGCAAGTAATGCATGACATTGAAATATTATTTCGATTCCGCCAGAGGCATCTACAAAGAATAATCTCGTTATACCAGAGTCAACTCGTTATAATATAGTCTTGAAAGCTTATTCTTGATTATGATTTAGATTTGATTGTGCTTCCTCAGACACTTATATAACATTTGATTCTTAATAATATACTATCTTTTTTACTTTGTGTTCTAACTTATGGAATAAATTTATGTACCCTAAGAATTTTTTTTAACTTGAATAAGAATTTACTCATATGATGAATTTAAAAAATAATTGAATTGGATTCTCTTGCTAAATAATTAATTAAAAGATTTAATTATTTGATTTTAACATAAAAATAATTTATTTTATGTTGATTCAGATCTTAATATTAGTTCATCTCTTGTTTTGAATCTTTAATCTTAATTATAATTTTATCCACCATAAATTTTATTTTTAAAGAGTAAAAGATTGATCATTTCACTTTTAGATCGTTATGTTTGTAGAATCATTAGTGGTATTGACTCTTACCAACCATTTTTTTCTCTTTCTCACACATTTATGTTCTTAAATATTTTCTTAGTTATCGTTTAATAATTGGGTATTTTTCAATATTAAGCATAAAAAATATTATTTGAGTAGGAAAATAATATAAATATAAAATAAAAATATATTAACGTGGGCGTATCTTTTTTTTTCAATTTCAACTCTTTAAGCAGTGTATTTAATATTTTTTTTTGATAATGTATTGCCAGTATGGAGGATTCTTATGAAATTAATTTTATTAAACCTTCCTACATATTTTTAATAAGAATTTAATAGAAATTTTTTTTATTAAATTTTATTAAAATTTAAATATTAAAAATTAGCATAGAAGGTATTATAGTTCAAAAATAGGTTATTACAGTTATGTCCTTTCCCTATGAGTTCTTTCGCTTAATATTTTAAGACTATTTTGGTAAATTAATATTGTAATTATATTTTTATAATAATATGGGCTCTCCTTTTTCTAAATGATTTTGGAAAATATAATATATTCTCAAATTAAATTAGTCTAGGACATTATAATACGTTTTAAAATTAAATTAGTAATATGAATTTTTAAGAAGTATATCCTAAAAGTAATAGAATTACATGAGTAAAGATATTTACTTGTTCAATTTTATATGAATTAGAAATCCTGAAAGTAATTATACTAATAGGATTCCTTAAGGTAATCATGTAGGATTCCTAACGTGTAGTATTATGTCATAACACTAATAGGATTATAAAGCTAATATTTAAAATTCCGGTTATGTCCTATGAGTTATTATGCTTAATATTATAAGATTATTTTTGTAAACCAACATTGTATTCATGCTTTTATAATAATATAGATAAGCCAAAATTACATTAACTTGTCATAAATTCTCCCGGCGTGTGATAGAGTGAACAAACGTACGCATCACCCGAAAATGCCGAGAGGGTGGCCGAGGAAGACAAATAACCAGGCAATTGATGTAGAACTGATAATTGAAGCGGTAAAAAAAGGCTTAGGCATTACTACTGAAGCAATACAGAAACAGAAAATGGGGGAAATGACGGATTCATGGCCTGCACCACCAAATCGGAAAGGTGACATCAATACTCCACCGACACAATTGGAGCTGTAATGAATATGGGAAGTGAAGCGGTTAAAACTATGAATGCTCCTGCTGAAATTAGGGCTTCTATGACTAAGGTAATGCCTAATGCAATTGAAGCTAGGGCTGAGGATGACAAAGGCGAGAAGGAAACTGGAGCTAGGAAGCAACTAGACCTAGCTATGGAGGAAAAGGAAAAAACTCCCTGGGCAAAGCTGTTTGTAGGGAATAGATTTGTTGCTCGTGGAATGAACCTAAATTTCGTAGCACCAACGATACATAATGGTGAGAAGATCGTGGAATTACAGAAGGCAGAAATTGAGAAAGGCTCAAAGAAGTGGAAGACATCAATAATCTTCTATGTTGTTGGAGACGATCCCTGAATTGGTACAGTTGAACGATATATTTAAGGTCAGTGGGGAATTACACCCAAGCCTAGAATTTACTATCATAATGAGGGTTATTTTGTCATCAGATTCAATAATTTGGAGGACAGGGATATGGTGATAACATCAGGACCACACATGATGAATCATAGGCCAGTGATTATCAAGGCATGGGCAGCGAATTTTGACTTCAATAGCGAGATCTTGAAGACAATTCCACTATGGGTCAAATTATCAAATCTTCCATTGAACTGTTGGGAAATGGAAACACTAAGTAGAATTGGAAGTGCTTTGGGGAATCCACTATATGCAGATGATTGTACTACAGATGTTGATAGAATATCCTATGCTCGTTTGCTGATAGAGATGGATGTCACTAACGAATTGCCAAAGAAACTAGTAGTGAAGGATCCACAGGGGAAGCTGTTTACGCAAGAGGTACAATATGACTGGGTACCAGAATTCTGTGGTTCATGCTTGCAAGCTGGACATGACTGTGCAAAGATCAAACATCAAGCAAGGAAGGAAGTAAAGGAGAAGAATCAAAATGTACGAGGACGGAATCAGAATAAGCATTGGGTTTGGCAAATTAAGCAAC